ATTTAAGAGAATGTATGGGAAAATCTTGGTCACGTGGTACAATCCCTGCACGCTGATTGGTTACGGCCCCAATCAGCGTATATGACTACTGTAACAAAATGCCTTATTTGCATTCTGTCAACAACACACATACTGGTTTGTTTACCTATTTCAAGCACGCAAAAATAGGAATTACTTCTTACTACTTACCATTTCCTTCCAATTTAAGATCTTATCGTATTTGTTAGTGAATGTAGAAGTCTTTCCTTGAGTCTCATTTAAGAAAATCTATCCATATTTCTTTTTAACCTCCAAAAAAGCATGGATGAATGAAGAATTAGTGGAAGACGGGCTGAAAATGGTTTGGAGCAAAGTCGGTGATTTGAGTGGCCAAAAGTCGATGCTTGCATGGGACTCATTTTGTGCACATCTATCACAACCAATTTAGAGGACACTGCAGTCACTGAACACAGAGTGTGCAGTTATTCCTGGAGGGAAGACAGGCTTACTCCAACCTCTTGATGTCTGCATCAACAAACCGTTCAAAGATCGCCTTAGAAGCAAGTGGCAGCAGTGGATGATATCTGGAGAACAAATCTTGACTGCTACCAGCCGTACGTGTAAAGCTGAGTTGAATGTGATCTGCAACTGGATCAAGCAAGCATGGGATGATATTCCAACCGAGATGATTCAGAAATCTTTCCGCAAGTACTGTATCACTAATGCAATTGACGGAACCAAGGATGATGAAGTATGGGAGCAGGAAAGTGAAGACCCTTTTGAGGACGTGGACGATGCAGGGCTGATTGACGATGAGCTGTACTACGCTGATGCATACGAGAAGGAACAAGTAGGACTTGATCCAGCAACCTATGAAATGATGTTTGGAAGCAGTGATGATGAGGAGGACTTCTATGGCTTCTAATAGCTTTTTACAGCTGAACATGAGTTTATTACACTTCATTCCAGAACTTTTCCGTTGACATGTAAATACCTGGTGGTTATTGCCTTTTTTTATATTACAATGTAAAGAAATTCTTATCTCTCAATTTTGTTTAACCATTGCAAGACAAGTTACAGAAACGGTGCTTTGTGTAATACCCACAAAACTCTTAAAAACATCGCGCTACTTCCGGTGTCAAGTTTTCCATCTTCCAATCCGATTGAATGCCTGGTTACTAAGCTACACACGTTCGACAAACACTCAAGCAAAAATCTGTGGAAAAAACGGTGTTGAATGAAGAAATACCTGTCAACAAATTCCAGAAAAAGATCAAACATATGTCAAAAATGGTGGAAACAATGTTCATTATATTAAAGAGCTAAAATTGTGGGTAAGATTTTGAAGTATTTTTCATTTCAATGTTAAAAGTGAGTTTACGTTCGATGAACAAGACTCCTAAAGGCTCGACTTTGGATTTCTTTCAAAAAACTTTTTTCCAAAATTCGAGTTGCTAAACTCAGGGTGCGGCTTATCTGTGGGTGGAGCTTATCTGCGGGTGTTTACGGTATATTCACAAAGTACTTTTAAATGAATGAAATACATTCCTTCGAAATTTAATTATTTTGCACCCAAAAAGACAACGCAACATTCCCTAAAATCAACCTAGTACACATTTAAACATGCACAAATTTAAGTGTTTTAAAGACAGAAGAATGATGTGGTTTTGCATGCAAGGCTCTCAAACTTGTTTAATAAAATGGTGCGTCAAATGACGATTTAATCAGAATTTAGTAATTTGCATTTTTCTTTGAAATATATAGGTATCTGGCCAAAAAAACTATTCATGCTCTCGCCTATCTACCATAAAAATATGAGTGAAATTGAATTTTTGACCCTCGCCAAGTTATTTTCCATATTTATGGACAGGGACTCTTAAGACGATTTGGTGAGTGAGTATCGATTTTTATTGATTGAACCAATCAATAATCAATGGATTATTATTGATGATATTGATTGCAATCAATGATTGATTTTCATTGATTGATACCACCGGGCACCCATTGTGCTAGGAGAGAATCAGCAACTCCATTTTGATAGTCTTCAAATTACAGATGAACAGTCAAAGGAATTTGAGCTTCAAACTAGGGAGCAATCATTCAGCAAAGACTGGTATCGGTTAAGGAAATTTCACCTCACTGCATCAAATGTTAAAATTATTTACTCTAGGCAAAAAGATTTTGAAGCTCTTGCAACCAGATTGTTAAAGGGAAGAAAAATACAAACAGCTGCATGAAGTATGGCTTACAACACGAAGATGAAGTTGAACAGTTTTATGCTCAAAATTTTGGTGGGTCTGTTTTTAAAGTTGGTTTTGTGATTAACCCAAGAGTCCCTCATCTTGGCTGTAGTCCTGACAGGAGGGAGGGTATATGACCCTTCAGATAGTCCATCTTAGGGTCTGTTTCAAATTAAATAGTCCATGGCAGAAGAATACTTGAAAAAAAAATCCCACTACAGGAGTTTACTCCCTAAAATAGAGCCATCAGTATTACTTTCAGATCATGGGCTGTGTAGGGCTCACTGGTGAGGGGTGGTCTGATTTTTTTTGTTCAGTGCAAAAAGGAATTTAAGAACGGATATATTATGAAGCTGAGTTTTTCTCAAATATGATGGAAAAACTTAATTTATTTTATTTCTGTTATTACCTGCCTGCATTAGTGGCTTCAAAATAGTGAATCCTACAGCAATCAAAATACAATGGGTGGTTGCTAGTTGTTACCACATGTTAGTGTTTCACATCAGACTTATGGTTGTGAAAAAATGTTATCTTCGATTAAGAATTATAAAGGGCATGTCACATACAGATTTTAACATTTTGAACAGTGTTAAGGATCACAGGGTCCAAAATCATTCAAAGAATTTGATGTTTGTCGTAAAGTAAATACTATAAAAACTACATCATAGTAGAAAGATAAATTAAAAATACAGCACTGTTCTCCACAGGCTAACCCTGAAATTAAGGTCATTCCTCACATTTGCATTGTGTGTCCTTACTGCACATAATTTATGGTGATAATTCCGTGGTACACGGATTTCCCCAAAACAACTTATATAGTCTGAAAGAGCATGATTTCTTCTACAAATTAGTGAAATAAAATTTTTGGGTAATTAGAATCATGAGCGCCATTTAATATCCACACCCCCCTATGGATGAGCTGTTTTGTTTGGACAACCCTCAGAAAATCACTTTCACCCACGACCCCTCGGAAATATCTATGGATGAGCTTATTTTGATAGATACCCCTCAGAAATGTCTATGGATGAGGTTATTTTTCTTATATACCCCTCAGAAATGTCTATGGATGAGGTTATTTTTATGTACCCCTCAGAAATGTCTATTTAAACAAAAATGAGTTCATTTTTTTATTATTCCCCTCTCAAGAAGCTGTATGGATTGGTCCCCAATTTGTTAAAATAACATGTGCCAGTTACAGTAACATGTACATAAACAATAAACACGTTACTTTTTTTATCAAGTTGCCTTGACAATAAGCAGAGTTATAGGGATGATAACAAGATTATGCCATCTTAGGTTCCACTTCAGATTTCTTTACACAAAATTTTCTCTTGGTTTGTGCCGCCAGGCCTCCAGTACATATTAAGCAAAGCTCCGCACCCAGAAATGTATTTTTCGAACAGAATTATTTGCCCAGTCTGTTTAAGAAGGTTTCAAACATTTCTTCCAAATCTAACTCTGCAATATTATACATGTTTCACACTTCCTTTCCCATGGGGAGGGGGAACGTTCATAAAAAATTGATAGGGGTGTTGTCAGAAATTTTTTGGGGGGATTCCCTAGAAGGTATAGAATACCACAATCTTGATTTACGGGCTTGGTTCAAATTCACTCTCTCCACTAAAAGATACTTAATTTCGGAGAGTAGCTCCTGTCATAGTTATTTTCACATTAATACCCTAGCTAGAAGATACTGAAATTACTCAATAGTGTTAATTTCGAACCAACACAATTAAGTTTAACCCTTAATATAATTTATATATAGTGGGTACGATGAGCCCCCATGCCACTTTTATGAGAGAGTTCCTCATGCTCCTTACAACACCAACAATATTATGATAATATATTGTGGAATGCCTCACCCATGTGTAATGCTTATTTCCACTGTAGATAAAAAAAAACAAAACTACTTTGATTGCTCCACTATTTTAAATAGCAAAGCAAATCAGGGCATATGGAAGAATATATATTCATCAAGCTGTATAACATTCATTTCACTTGTGTACTAGTACGTCACAAAAAAATGCACTTAGCTCAAAGCAAGTTTAAGGGTATCACTCCAATGAAACAGGTGGGGTGGGGAGTTGTGCACCATTTCCCTTTTTTTTCTTTCAGATGCAGGATTTTTTTCAGGTTAATGTACCCAAACCCCACACCCTACCCTCTCTAGCCATTTTTCCTGATCACATTACGGACGTACCACGTAACCCAATTTGGAAAGCTTCATGTGATAGTCATTTGAGTTTCAAACGAACTAAAATTGCACCAATGTTGAACTGATCAGAAGGCTTGTTTTTGGCTCTTTTCACTCTGTCCAAGGTTAAATGGTCTGTATCGCAGTTATCATATTGTTTGGAGGACACAAGCTACATATAGAAGGCTATCAAAACAGTTATTTCTTCAGACGGAGCGTCCCTGAAATAAGGCTTGGTAGGACTGGAATACTGTACACATATCCAGGTTCATCCAAAAAAACCAGCTCGATATCATCGTCATCATAGTCAAATGACTGCACCTCTGCCTCGTACCAACCTTGAAAAAAAAAATTAATAGCTTTGTAAATGCAGAAGGAATTAGGGAATAGTAGCACCAAGTCACATAAGTTCTCTGTTTATGTGGTTCTTGCCTTTCTTCTGTATGTGGTATCATGTTAACAGAATTACTGGGGACATTCACTCAATAATCAGCCTGGACATGACGATATAATATATTCTTGATAGTGAATACATGAAAATCACTATATGTGCACTGTGGGTGATAGGGTATAGGGTATGAGTATATTACAAACTCGCAAAGTGAACAGCTCCCAATTCATCAGCTGGTTGAGCACTGCATCAGTATCACAGAGGTCGTGGATTTGAATCCCGTTCAAGCCTGAAATTTTTTCTGGCGTTCTTTTCTAAACGGCTCAAGTTGAGTTCAAGTTGATGATTGTTCATTTGTTAAATATAGATCTTATGAAACAAAACAAACACACATACCAGCTGGCCACTCCCTGTCCACTAGGTCATCTTTTGTCCATTTAAATTCAACAAAGGCCCAAATCTGACATATTTCCTCATAGCTGCCAAGCTTTTTCTCTGTGGATAGTGCAAGTTTGACCTTTCCTGCGGTGGCCTCTTTCTCTATGCAGTACTTGTAAGTGACACCTACTTCTGTGTCAAATTCCACCACCATTGTGTCACTGTCCTTTATGTACTGTCTGACAGTTCCAACATACCACCCTAGAACAAAAAAACATTCTCTTATTGTTTTGTTGGGTTGAGGGAAATGGAATTGGTATTTATATTATACTCTTCCCACTGTCTGTGTTGAACAAAGTGGTTGCAAACATTATGCAAGGGACTAAAACACTCTGAAATGTCAATTATCGATGTCTCATTCAAATAAGTTGGTCAACTTGCAAATATTTAGCTTCATAAAATACATAACTATCGTCGTTACTCCTTGTCAATGACAGCATTAAATCGTTTTTTGAGTGCTGATTTATTGACTATTATTAAACATTGTTGTCATATAGCCCTGTAACTTGTTTTCAAATGAGTTGTAAATTCCCTTACCCGATTTCCATCCAGATATTCCAACTTCATCCTTGCTCCATGATACTAGAACCCTAGCACCCACTGATCTCATGGCTTCCAACATCACAGGGACATTTTTGCGAAGGTGGTTCTTTTCGTGCTGCAACTTCTGGTAAATAGAAAGTTCATCACTTAGAGGAGTCAGGGCTTCCTTGAGATTGTCTAGTGATAGACCATCCGTCACTGGCAGGAATGCATTTTGCTTTTGCTGAGGAGTGGACGCCCTATCTCTTGGTTGCATCAAAATTATTGAGGTACCTGACAGCATGGCAAACTTTCTCCTCTTGAGGATTACTTTGGGATCTTCCAAGTAAAGGCTTTTCTCTGCAATCATGAGGGTTCTTGTTGCATTAATGATGTTCCTTATGGCTTCAAGTTCCCTATGGAAGGCCAAATAGCTTCTTCCTCGTCTAACCATGCCAACTCGAGCAACCAATTCATCTTTGTTGCCACTATCCAAAACATTGTGGACTCGTGAGATTTCTCTCAGCCTATACACGGACACTTTGGCAATTTCCGTTACAAAATCTGGAATGCAGAGGACATTAGCACTGTACTCTACAAGAGGGGGTGGTTTAGCACAGTCTCTTTTGTCTGATAGATGCTTTACACACTTGTGTTTTTTCCCTTCAATCGATGGTCCCTCTTTACGACACAACTGCTGAAGGTGTTCTTTATCATTCTCCTGATAAAGCGGTTCCTGGGACCAATACTCTCTTTGTCATTTGCAAATGATTTATCCACCTTTTCTTTGTACTCCTGACAGAATGTTGTCACATCTGTTTCGGTGCACCAGGTTAGAAACAATATGGAAGGCAAGATGTTTTCAACACCATTAGGAAACACTTTCTATGTCATTTCCAAATTTTTGAAGGAAGAAATGCTCCAGGTGTGTCTGAAACAATTTGCGTTTAATTTTTGGATCTTCTCTAAGGGTAGGTAATACATTTCACCACCAGTGGCCATCCATCTGACATAGTCAGGCACAGGTTGCACAGTGAATAATGTTGTTTCCAACTCACACTCAATATTTGGGTTGAATATTATAGGGGAATATTTATCAGTCCAGCAGGTCCTCTGTCCTGCTTCGTGAAACATGTTCTGCAGAATTTGGTAGTCTTCCCTGTGGCTTCCTGTGTAATCTTCATCCAAGTCCCATACGGTTGCAACCTCCCTCCACAAATCGTTTTTAATGGGATGGTACTGTAGGATGTAGGATTTTCATTTTTTCCAAGAAACGAGACGAAGTGCTCTTCATTAAATACGAAATTTTCCTGCCCATCAATTCCACGCGTCACAACACATGGGCCATCACCATACTGTGTATTGGCTAAACACTGCCTAACTTCCTCTGCCATGTGTTCCATGTTTGCCTTGTGTTTGTCATCTCCTGTACCATACTCTGGATAAATTCCCCTTGCTTGAGAATTTTTCGTTGGACAGGGCGTGGTTTTGTGCAGCATGGACTCGTTCCACGGGATTCCTTTTGCTATGGTACTCGGCAAAAGACTTTTGAGTTACTGACTTCAATTTCAGTATCCTCGCCAAACGTACCAACCACATTCGTAGCAAAGGGCTCGCCAGGGCCACAGATGGTCCATTATCCACAATAAATGCAAAATGTTCCCAGTGTGAGGGTTTCTGAACAAATGATCAAGTGCTGGATTTCTTAACAGTAGAAAGATCTCATTGACGACACGGTGTACTGTTTCTGGTTCAACATGAGATAGGTTTAGAAGAGTTGCTGCTGTTCTCATTCTACGAACACTGCACACAAGCCTCTGTTCCCCTTTCTCTTCAAGATATAATGCTCTTTCCATAAGCAGGTGACTTATCGGTGTAACTGCATTCTGAGAAGACCTATTCCAGTCGTGATCAGGTAAGATTACTTTACGCCAGGTTTTTCCTGGTTTTTGAACCGAAGATACGTCAGAGTGAATTTTTGCTTTGGCATCCTTTGAGTCTACCAAAATACAGTTTGGCAGCAAATGTGCTAAATCCAAAGTGAGGTTTACATTTTGTGTGGACCAATGCACGTTAATAACAAATTTGCTCTACTCCAATTCTTTGTGGCTTATGTAGGGATAAACATGCGTTAATACCTCACCCTGAATGGTGCCTTCTAGCCTGGTATGTCCTCGCGTTAATTTTGAGTATAATTGAAGCATGTAGATAAACTAATACTGAATCCCTTTGGAGCTAAAGCTAGGATGGTTTCTCTTGCCTGCTGCATTATGGTGTTACTGTCTGCTGCTCTGTAAAGCACAGTGTCCGTTAGTCTGGGATGACTTTCCAGGCCTCCCCCTGCCCTGTCTACACGATCACATTCTCCAAAACCAAACTCCAGAATTCCTGTAAGATCTGGAAATTCTTCGCATTTAAGTTGTCTTCCTCTCCCTTTGAATACATGACATAATTTCTCAAGTTTCGTTGATTGAAGCAGCCTGCTGCATTTCTTCCTTTTCGCTTCTTCAGTCGTTGAGGGGTCTCTTACCTGTATCTCACTCTTCGTGTCCTCAAACAATTGTAGATTACAGGCAATGGTACCATTTGAGTACTGGAAACTTCTTTTGTCTTAAACATTGGCAAATTTGCCCATGAATTTTGCACTTGTTATTTGGGTTAATATTGCTTTGACAGTGTCCCTCTCTCGTTTACTGTCAAGATACTGCAATAAAGTATCCGTTTATGTAAACTTGTGCAACATTTAAATGTTTCAACATGATCTTGAGTAAGCGGGATGACTCAAGGTGGGAAGACTCCTTCAAACCTTTTGATTCCTTGTACTTTTTGACAAGATCTTGCATAGGGACAAGAAACCCATTATTCATGATGTGGTACGCAAGAGATATCATTGCACTCAAGTGATTTTGTTGTTCTGAGGATCCAGCAATAATAACTCTCTCAATAAGGTCTTCAACATTTTTTGTTCAAGTGTCCTGTTGGCAGTTCCACATACAAGCCCTTTCATCTGGTTATCCTCCACAATCACAGGGTTTCTTGTTCACTCTTCTGATCTTGCCAAGTTCGCTGTAAAATTGATACCCCTTTCTGTATACCATTGAAACCCGGGTCCTTTGAGCGGTAAAACGTATCTGGTTTCATTGTCATTGTCTGAATCTATCTCAGTCCCAAGAGATGCAGATCCTAGTGATTCAACATTCTCCACTCTCACCTCTTTAAGCCTAGGTTTGCCAGGTGTAAAAAACGAATCTATTTTCTTTATTTTCGCTATTGGTTTTTTTTCAACTTTAGGGCTTTTAGAATGCTTTTGTCATCGCACTCATGGTGTACAAAACATTACAGGAATTCCAGACTTGCGTTCACTCTGGAGCTGAGGAAGAGGCAGATGGATTCTCTGTGGGTGTTTCACATGATGACGTCTGGCCTTGGCCCTCTTGTTTGGCGGCAGTTTTACATTTTCAATGTTTTCAGTAAACTTGTTTCCTTGTGAGTGTCTAACAAGAGTGTCTGACAGGATGAACGAACCTTTTAAGTGGTGGCTTGACTGTTTTATCTTCGTTGGTCTCCCTCTCGGACGGCGGGCTCATGGTATTGCCAGGATTTGTGGAACCCGTGGATGGAGTAGCTGTTTTGCCTTCGTTGGTCTGTTTGCTGAATGATGGGCTCTTTGTATGGCAAGAATTCGTGGAATTTTGTGATGGAGGTAGCTGCTTTACTTTCGTTGCTCTGTTTGCTGGATGATGGGCTTTTGGTACTGCATGGATTTGTTGAACTTGTTGATGGAGTACAGTACTGTGCAAAAGTAATGCAAGTGATTTTCGACAAAATTCCTGGTTTTTTGTGGCTTTTCGAGGCAATTTTGTTCGAAACGATATTTCGCTGATTTTTCGCCACAATTTCAAGACGCCTATTGTTTCAATCCACGTGATTTTTCGAACGATAATTCACTCTTCCTGAAAATGCACTGCAAATTTTCAAGTGGTAATTCACTCTTCCCAGAAATTCATTGCAAATTTTTAAGTACACATTCGCTCTGTTTATCACTTGTGACTGCACTAGAACATGTATGTGAATATTCTCTCTGTAGAACCAGCATTACAACTGCTGAGTTTTGCTTCATAACCTGGATCAGCTGTTCTACCAAACTCACCTGCTTATTGTCAAATTAATGCTTAACTGTTATGGTGATTCCAACACCTAAAAGCATTAAAGTTGCAGCAAACTTGTTGTAGTAATTCCTTGTTGTTATTCACTCCACGCTTTTCGAGACCCCTACTTTCCCTTGGTATAAAACACACAAAGTTTCCTGCCTTAAGCCCAGTCCCTAAACGTCTGTTTTGTTTGCTACCATAGTGACGGTTTGTTTGAGGTTCATGCCGTATTTCAATTGTCATTCGCTTTGAAGCAATCTAGTGGTTAACATGCCGAAGGTTTCAACTTACACGAGAACTCGAATCGAGCTCCTTAGCAAGCAAGGTCTCCACCCAGCTGGAATATTTACATCTATGAAAAGCGAAGGGTTATCTGTAAGCTTTTCTAGTGTTACTTACATTATTAAAAAGCTGCGCATTACCGGTTCCGTGATAAATCTTCCGCACTCCGGGAGACCTCAAAAGCTGTCTATAGAAGCCAAAGCTTTTATAGATCAGCAAATGCAAAGTAATGACGAGATGACGAGTGCCCAGATCAAGAAGAAGCTGGCAAAACATGGAGTGGTCGTTAGCTCATCAACTGTGTGAAGATCACACAAGCAGCAAGGCTAGACTCTACAGCGGATGCCAAAATTTAAGGAAAAACCCCAGACTAAATTGAGATGACTAAGTTCTTTTCCGTGACAGACTGTCTATCAATTGACTGAATTTTAGTCCATTTTTGCTAGCCAGGCTATGTTTTTAATTTTTGTAATACTTCATCAATATTGAAATAGAAAAAAAGCATTGTAGTATTTATAGGGTTTTTCATTTTCATCTTTACAGCATTACCATTTATTATACTTCTCCAATGTAAAAGAACGAATAAAATTAAGTCTTAGTGTACCTCATATGTGGCTAATATTTATGGCGCAATGCGGGGAGGCTGGTATCTAGCTTACAACAAGCGCGGATATTTTGTGGAGCGTTCAGTATGTAAATGTCGGTCGAGTTACTACTGTTTACTTGTGTCTCAAATGGAAATTTCCAGAGGATAAGGGAAAGTATTAGATTATATGACCATTTAAGATCAAAGCTGGCTGAAAAATAAGTGATTGAAATTGGATAAAGGATTGCCTTTGTGAAGCACGAGGATCTTCCTGTACTGATCGATGCTTTGAGGTCACAGAATGTTTGAAAATAAGAGCATTTCACTGAACTCTTGTTTACAAAGTTGACAATCAGTGTTAAAGGTTTATCGGTGACTACCTGTGTAAGCGATTTAACTACACCAAACTGGAGTGTTTTGGCTTTGTTCCTCGAACAAACTAAGTTCATCTTTGCGGCATATTGAATAATTGCATGTTGTAAGGTAAGATGCTATCGATCTGTGCTTCGATCCGTTG